GTGTGTGTGTGTGTGTGTGTGTGTGTGTGTGTGTGTGTGTGTGTGTGTCCCTTGAGGGGAATCAGGACCCTGCCCCAAGGCTGCACTGTTGTTTCTCTTGACTGCTCCTCCCTTGTCCTGCATCCCCTCCCTTCTAATTGACAACTGTTTGAACCTGCCCAGCTGGAACTCAGGGAAGGTCTTGGAGGCTGAATGAAGTCTATTTCCTAATCAAAGAAATGGGGGACACAGAAAGGCTTTTGTGCTCAGAAGCCCCACAGAGTCCTGTTCCATATCACCTTTTACTCTTTCTTAGTATGCTATTGCATGTTGATAGAATATATTCCCTGGTCACATGCTGAGAAACAGTATCTGGGTGGTTTTTTTTTTTTTTTTTTTTTTTTTTTGTGGTACGCGGGCCTCTGACTGTTGTGGCCTCTCCCGTTGCGGAGCACAGGCTCCGGACGCACAGGGTCAGCGGCCATGGCTCACGGGCCTAGCCGCTCCACGGCATGTGGGATCTTCCCGGACCGGGGCACAAATCCGTGTCCCCTGCATCGGCAGGCAGACTCTCAACCACTGCGCCACCAGGGGAGCCCTGCGTGGTATTTTTGAGTCTTTGTTGGCCTGAACATTTCCTTTCTTTAATACCCTTAGACTTAATTGAATTCTAAAGACATATAGAGTTTGAACCAGAAAATGTTTTTTACCCAGAATCATTCACTCCATTTTCTTCCAGCGTCTAGATTTCATTTTGAGAATTTCACCCTAATTTTTAATTCCAGATATTTGTATGTGCCATGCATTTTCTCTCTGAAAACTTTTATAATGCCTTTTAATCCATAGAGGTAAGACATACCTAATGTTAAGATTTACTGTAAATCATATGCATTAATTTTACTGGATGGCCAGTAACCATTTTCAAACTAGAGAGCCATGTGCTTTGTTTTAAAAAATGTTCCCATGGCAGTGAAATAAGTCAGACAAATACTGTATGATACCACTTATATGTGGAATCTAAAAACTACAACAAATTAGTGAATAAAACAAAAAAGAAGCAGACACAGATGTAGACAACAAACTAGTGGTTACCAGTATGGGGAGGGGGGCAATGCAGTGGGGGGAGAGTGGAAGGTACAAACTGCTGGGTGTAAGACAGGCTCACGAATGTATTGTACAGCATGGGAAATACAGCCAATATTTTGTAATAACTGTAAGTAACCTTTAAAAATTTTATAAAATATTTAAAACTTTTAAAAAATAAATTTATTTCTTAATTTAATTTTAAAAAGAAACAATTGGAAAAAAATTCCCATGTTTTCTTTTTGGATAAGTTCCTCATAAACTTTTGTTTAATTTTTGTGAACATCTTATTAGGGAGATGGCAGGCATCCAGAATTTGCCTCTTCCATGTTCTTCTTGCATTCAGAATATACCCATCCATCCCAATAGCCTTAATTTGTTTCAGGACTAAGTCCAAAGTCTCATCTAAATATCCTCTGAATCAGATATGGTTGAGACAATTCATTCTGAGGCAAATGCCTAAATTAATGACTCAGATTCTTCTTTAATCAGTATCAAATTGTTGCCATTTACATAACCCCTTATTTGGTTGGGGTTTTATTTTAAACACTTGACTAAATGCATCATCGTTCAATGAAAATAGGAACAAAATAATTCTACAACTTATAATTTTATTTCTGAATTTTTAGCACAATGACAAAGCACATGGTAGGAACACTATATTTATTGAATGAGTTAATGAATGAGTGATAACCAAACATGGATCAGTCAATCACTTCTCCCATGTCCCCAGCTTACTGGTAAACTTGGAGGAAAATGCCTGGACTCAGTACACAAATTACAGATTGTAAACTCCAAGGTCTTCTCAAACTGCTAATTCATCAGAGACAATAGGTCTTCATAGAGATTTTTCAGAGGATTCTCTTTGGAGAAAGGTTCACCAGGAACATTCAAAGAGCAATAAAAAATGTTATATTTTTTAAATATCAAGGCATCATTCTCTGTCTCTCTCAGTGACCCCTTAAGTGTTCCAGTTGCTCCCTTTAGCATTCTCTGATTTTATTTTTTCCTCTATTGTTTTTTAGCTCTTACATTTTTGTCACAATCAAATTATGAGTAATGTATTTTTTTTTCTTTCTGAGATATTTCTAAAATATCCCCTCCCTAAGCAATGTCAAAATATTGATTTCAGGATTCCAACTATTCTAAACCACACTATACTGCTTTCCTGTCCCCAGCCTACCCAAGATAAAACCTGGGCTTGACAGGACTTTGGTAAGACTCAATGAAGAAAAGATAAGTAGAAGCACATTGCAACCTATAAAATAATCATTTTAAAAATTGGCTTCCCTGGTGGCGCAGTGGTTGAGAGTCCGCCTGCCGATGCAGGGGACACGGGTTCGTGCCCCGGTCCGGGAAGATCCCACATGCCGCAGAGTGGCTGCGCCTGTGAGCCATGGCCGCTGAGCCTGCGCGTCCAGAGCCTGTGCTCCGCAACGGGAGAGGCCACAGCAGTGAGAGGCCCGCGTACCGCAAAAAAAAAAAAAAAAAAAAAATGTGAGGACACAAACTCGCATGAGTAGTATCAGCAAACAGGAGGATTAGGAGTAAGTCAGTAAATAACAGTTCATAAATCATCATGGGGAAAATGGACAAATTTGGAGGAAAATATTAATTTCTCAGTTGACCACAGAAGAGGGAGAACACCTAAACATGAACAAAAAATACTTTGAAAAGGTTATTAAAGAACTTACCTTTTAAAATACCATACTCAAATAAATTTAAAAGTGAAGCCATTCAAAACTTCAATGAGTCATTATTTGAAAATCCCACAGAAAATTGTAAATCTCTCAAGTTAGTTTCATTATGCAAGATGTGAATAAAATTTTTAAAAAATGTAATCTCTCTGGGGAATGTAACAGTAGTAGTACATAATATGCAGTTTTAATTGCTCATCAAATATTAATTTATGTGATCCTTACACCAACCCTTTAAGACTGATACTACCACTATCCTCATTTCAGTGATGAGAAAATTGAAACACAACGAGGTTATCTAATTTGTCCCTTCATTACAGGGCTACTAAGTGGCAGAACCAAGATTCAAGTGAAGGCAGCATGGTACCTGATGTATATTTTCTCTACATTTTAGATTGTCGAAATATTTTATAATTACACATAATTTTTAAAATTTTATTTATTTATTTTTTGCTGCATTGGGTCTTCGTTGCTGTGCGTGGGCTTTCTCTAATTTTTAAAGGCATACACTTGAGGAAGCTTCTTTGTAAATGCATAAGCCCTGTTGCTGAGAAGACTGACAATCCTTGAGTAATGGGTCATTAGCGAATAAATTGATTGAGAGAAAAACAAGTCCAACTAGTGCAACAGTAGCATTAGCGATGTTCATCCCAAAATTGCTTTCCATCTAAAAAAGAAACAGAAATTTCCATTAATATAGGCAGCACCTACTTCATTCCTTTGGCTGCAGTCATTTAAATAAATAGCCATTGAAAGTGGTTTACACACCCAGCTATAACCTAGGCTGGTCCTGGAAAAACATCAGTAAACAAAGATTCCCCACCCTCATGGAGCTTACGTTCTAGTAGCAAAGACAAAGAAGACAATTACGCATACTAACAGGTAAATTATATAGCATTTTTAAAAGCGATTAAGTGCTATGGAATAATGGAAGTAATGAGGACCAGGAAATCCAGAGAGAGGAGTGGAGTTTGTGATGTTAAATAGAAATGACCCCTGGGGAGAGGTGTTAAGGAGCTGAGGGAGTTAGTCCCCCCAGGACATCTGGGGGGCATGTCCTTGCAGTCAGTTCAAAGGCCTGAGGCCAGAGTGTTCCAGGTGTGGTCCAGGGAAGCAAGGGGGTAGGGTGTTGGAGGGGAGTGACCAAAACAAACAGCATTAGAAAATGAAGGTGGAAAATGAACAGAGGGCCAGATCACATAAGGCCCCCGGGTCACACAACGGACTTCTGTTCTTGCTCCAAGGAAAACATAGAGCCACTAGAGGATTTTGAGCAAAGTGGCAACACAATTTGATTTCTATTTTAAAAGGAACACTGATATCTCAAGAGAGTCTAGTTAGAGAGGGCCGAGGGTAGAAGCGAGGAGCCCAGTTAAGAGAGATGGTGGAGATTAGATGAGGTGTTATCAGTAGAAAGATGAGAAAATGTCAAACTCAGATATACGTCGAATGTAGGGCCAACAGGATTGGCTGACAAACTGGATTCAAGATTGTCAAAGGAAGAAGAACCTAAGCCAGTTCTAAGGTTTGAGGCCTGGCAATGTGGAAGGATGGGGTTCCCATCAGCTGACGTGAGGACAGTGGATGGAGATGGTTTGAGGAGGAAGATTAGGGGTTGAGTTTTGAACTTTTTAGGACTCTAAGCAATTATGTGTGCCAGTCTGATGTTCAGCAGAGAGATGTAGGCTGGAAGTGTTTATTTCAGGGTTGTGGGCATATAGATGCCAATCACAGCCATGAGAATGGATGACATCACCAGAGGAGTGAAGAGAGTAGGTGACAAAGAACAGAGCTTTGGGGTGCCCCAACATTAAAGTGTTGGAGAGAAGAAAAGGATCTAGGGCTTCCCTGGTGGTGCAGTGGTTGAGAGTCTGCCTGCCGATGCAGGGGACACGGGTTTGTGCCCCGGTCTGGGAAGATCCCACATGCCGCGGAGTGGCTGGGCCCATGAGCCATGGCCGCTGAGCCTGTGCGTCCGGAGCTTGTGCTCCGCAGCGGGAGAGGCCACAAGAGAGAGGCGGACGTACCGCAAAAAAAAAAAAAAAAAAGAAAAGTATCTAGGAAAGGAGATTGAGAAGGAGGAAAGAAGAAGACAGGAGGAAGAGCGGCTAGTCAAGTTTTCCTGGAATCCAAGTGAAGAAATTATTGGAAGGAGGAGCGAGAGACCAGTGCTGCTAATGGGTCAATTAGATGAAGACTGAGAATTGAGCTCTGTGTTACCAACGTGGAAGTGTTCAGTGATCTTAAAGGGAGCAGTTACAGAAGTGTGATGGGGAAGAAAATGAAGCCTTATTGCAGTGGGTTTAGTTGAAACTGGGTAGATAGGAATTGGAGATAGAGTGTAGAGCATTCCTTTAAGGAGTTTAGCTACAGGAGGGAAAATGAATTGTGACTGTAACTTGCAGCAGAAAATAAGGTCAAAATTTTTTTTCTTAGCAGTTATTGGATGCTTATGGGCTGATTAAAAAGATCTAGTAGGAAGAGAATTGGAGTGATGCACTTGCATGGAGAAAAAGAATCTAGTATTCCAGAAGGGGTGCGGGTTTGAAGAAAATCATAGAGGAATCACCTACGGTAAGAGGTTAGAATGAAAAAAATATATCGGTACAGATCTGGCCCATGAAGTAGTTATAGTGGGGGTCTGAAATATCTCCTCCAATGGCTTGAGTTTCTCGGAATAGGAAGCAAGGGAATCAACAGAGAGTAGAGATGAGAAAAAAGGCATTGGCATTTGAGGATAGAGTAGAAATGTGAATGAGCTAGAAAAGTAGTATAAATGGGCAGGTGGTTGAGTGGGAACACGTAATAGAGACTTACTAAGTGTTTAATGAGCACTAAAAATATAGACTACTTAGCTTTCAGCTGTGAAACTAATGGCAGGAGAGTGCCCCCTCAAAATAATTAGAATTAGTTAACTTTAAGAACACACAAATATCAAAAAGCCTTTTTCTAAGCTTCAGATTCATCAGATAATCGTAGTAATCATCCCAGTAATCATATTCACAATCTATATGATTTTCTGAAGATCTACCACCTGAATGCCTTAGGAAAAGAAAATTAATTTTCTTGCACATTAAATGACACTCAGGGTCTCAGCTGGATTCACCAACCTCAACTCTCTTACTGTTAATGGATGACTTATTTCTACTCCTATGACCATAGAAAAAGAAGAACTTCCACTTACCAGTGTTTTTACGGGTTTTTTTCCCAACTACGACAGATAAGGTTCCTGAAACAATAAACTGCTTGAAAATAGGAAGTGAAGCAGATAAAGGAATGTTAAGTCTCAACCATCTTTTCTTGATCTTTCCTTGGTTAGCAGATACCTAGCGGTACTTGTACAAACTTCCTTTTCAAATTCACATTCTAGAACACAAAATTATACTTGACTTTGCTCACCATTTTATACAGATAAAATTTTAAATGAGTCTAAATTTTGAATAAATGTATAAGATTTTCATTTTGTTTTGTTCTTGGCCTTTTACAGGTTTATATGGGTGTGCATACTTTATCATATAATAAATACACATATTCAGTGTAATTAATTATCTTTATGCTTATGTTTATATTAAAAGTAAATACTATTTATTTACATACATAAGCATATTTAATACCATTCTCACCCAAGCTCCAGATATGGGTTTGATTTATTGGACTAGGTGTTCTAAAAGACCTTTTATACATCTAAGTATCTCTCTGGACATATCCACTAATTTTTTTTTGCAAGTTATTTAAAACTTCGTTTTTTTTAATTTTTGAATTTTATTATTTTTTTTTATACAGCAGGTTTTTATTAGTCATCAGTTTTATACACATCAGTGTATACATGTCAATCCCAATCACCCAATTCATCACACCACCACCACCACCACCCCCCGCCACTTTCCCCCCTTGGTGTCCATACGCTAGTTCTCTACATCTGTGTCTCACTTTCTGCCCTGCAAACCGGTTCATCTACCATTTTTCTAGGTTCCACATATATGTGTTAATATACGATATTTGTTTTTCTCTTTCTGACTTACTTCACTCTGTATGACAGTCTCTAGATCCATCCACGTATCAACAAATGACCCAATTTCGTTCCTTTCTATGGCTGAGTAATAGTCCATTGTATATATGTACCACATCTTCTTTATCCATTAGTCTGTCAGCGGGCATGTAGGTTGCTTCCATGACCTGGCTATTGTAAGTAGTGCTGCAATGAACATTGGGGTGCATATGTCTTTTGGAATTATGGTTTTCTCTGGGTATATGCCCAGTAGTGGGATTGCTGGATCAGGTGGTAATTTTATTTTTAGTTTTTTAAGGAACCTCCATACTGTTCTCCATAGTGGCTGTATCAATTTACATTCCCACCAACAGTGCAAGAGGGTTCCCTTTTCTCCACACCCTCTCCAGCATTTGTTGTTTGTAGATTTTCTGATGACGCCTGTTCTAACTGCTGAGAGGTGGTACCTCATTGTAGTTTTGATTTGCATTTCTCTAATAATTAGTGATGTTGAGCAGCTTTTCATGTGCTTCTTGGCCATCTGTATGTCTTCTTTGGAAAATGTCTACTTAGGTCTTCTGCCCATATTTGAATTGGGTTGTTTGCTTTTTAATATTGAGCTGCATGAGCTGTTTATATATTTTGCAGATTAACCCTTTGTCCATTGATTCATTGGCAAATATTTTCTCCCATTCTGAGGGTTGTCTTTTCGTCTTGTTTATGGTTTCCTTTGCTGTGCAAAAGCTTTGAAGTTTCATTACATCCCATTTGTTCATTTTTGTTTTTATTTCCATTACTCTAGGAGATAGATCAAAAAATATCTTGCTGTGATTTATGTCAAAGAGTGTTCTTCCTATGTTTTCCTCTCAGAGTTTTATAGTGCCCGGTCTTACATTTAGGTTTCTAATCCATTTTGAGTTTATTTTTGTGTATGGTGTTAGGGAGTGTTCTAATTTCATTCTTTTACATGCAGCTGTCCAGTTTTCCCATCACCACTTACTGAAGAGACAGTCTTTTCTCCATTGTATATCCTTGCCCCCTTTGTCATAGATTAGTTGACCACAGGTGCATGGGTTTATCTCTGGGCTTTCTATCCTGTTCCATTGATCTGTATTTCTGTTTTTGTGCCAGTACTATAGTGTCTTGATTGCTGTAGCTTTGTAGTATAGTCTGAAGTCACGGAGTCTGATTCCTCCAGCTCCATTTATTTCCCTCAAGACTGCTTTGGCTATTCAGGGTTTTTTGTGTCTCCATACAAATTTTAAGATTTTCTGTTCTAGTTCCGTAAAAAATGCCATTGGTAATTTGATAGGGATTGCATTGAATCTGTAGATTGCTTTAGGTAGTATAGTCATGTTTACAATATTGATTCTTGCAATCCAAGAACATGGTATATCTCTCCATCTGTTGGTATCATCTTTAATTTCTTTCATCAGTGTCTTTTAGTTTTCTGCATACAGGTCTTTTGTCTCCCTAGGTAGGTTTATTCTTAGGTACTTTAGTCTTTGTGTTGCCATGGTAAATGGGAGCGTTTCCTTAATTTCTCTTTCAGAATTTTCATCATTAGTGTATAGGAATGAAGAGTTTCCTGTGCATTAATTTTGTATCCTGCAACTTTACCAAATTCATTGATTAGCTCTAGTAGTTTTCTGGTGGCATCTTTAGGATTCTCTATGTATAGCATCATGTATTCTGCAAACAGTGACAGTTTTAATTCTTCTTTTCTGATTTGGATTCCTCTTATTTCTTTTTCTTCTCTGATTGCCATGGCTAGGACTTCCAAAACTATGTTGAATAATAGTGGTGAGAGTGGACATCCTTGTCTTGTTCCTGATCTTAGAGGAAATGCTTTCAGTTTTTCCCCATTGAAAATGATGTTTGCTGTGGGTTTTTCATATATGGCCTTTATTATGTTGAGGTAGGTTCCCTCTATGCCCACTTTCTGGAGATTTTTTTAATCATAAATGGGTGTTGAATTTTGTCAAAAGCTTTTTCTGCATCCATTGAGATGATCATATGGTTTTTATTCTTCAATTTGTTAATATGGTGTATCACATTGATTTGCATGTATTGAAGAATCCTTGCATCCCCGGGATAAATCCCATTTGATCATGGTGTATGATCTTTTTAATGTGTTGTTGGGTTCTGTTTGCTAGTATTTTGTTGAGAATTTTTGCATCTATATTCATTCAAGTGATATTGGTCTGTAATTTTCTTTTTTTGTAGTATCTTTGTCTGGTTTTGGTATAAGGGTGATGGTGGCCTCATACAATGAGTTTGGGAGTGTTCCTTCCTCTGCAATTATTTAGAAGAGTTTGAGAAGGATGGGTGTTAGCTCGTCTCTAAATGTTTGATAGAATTCACCTGTGAAGCCATCTGGTCCTGGACTTTTGTTTGTTAGAAGATTTTTCATATCAATTTCATTACTTGTGATTGGTCTGTTCATATTTTCTATTTCTTCTTGGTTCAGTCTTGGAAGGTTATACCTTTCTAAGATTTTGTCCATTTCTTCCAGGTTGTCCATTTTATCGGCATAGAGTTGCTTGTAGTAGTCTCTTAGGACGCTTTGTATATCTATGGTGTCTGTTGTAACTTCTCCTTTTTCATTTCTAGTTTTATCAATTTGAGTCCTCTCTCTCTTTTTCTTGATGAGTCTGGCTAATGGATTATCAATTTTGTATATCTTCTTAAAGAACCAGCTCGTAGTTTTATTGATCTTTGCTATTGTTTTCTTTGTTTCTATTTCATTTATTTCTGCTCTGATCTTTATGATTTCTTTCCTTCTGCTAACTTTGGGTTTTGTTTGTTCTTCTTTCTCTAGTTCCTTTAGGTGTGAGGTTAGATTGTTTATTTGAGATTTTTCTTGTTTCTTGAGGTAGGCTTGCATAGCTATAAACTTCCCTCTTAGAACTGCTTTTGCTGCACCCCATAGGTTTTGAATCGTCGTGTTTTCATTGTCATTTGTCTCTAGGTATTTTTGATTTCCTCTTTGATTTCTTCAGTGATCTCTTGGTTACTTAGTAATGTATTGTTTAGCCTCCATGTGTTTGTGTTTTTTATGTCTTTTTCCTGTAATTGATTTCTAATCTCATAGCGTTGTGGTCAGAAAAGATGCTTGATATGATTTCAATTTTCTTAAATTTACTGAGGCTTGATTTGTGACCCAAGATGTGATCTGTCCTGGAGAATGTTCCGTGTGCACTTGAGAAGAAAGTGTAACTAACCTTCTGTTTTTGGATGGAATGTCCTATAAATATCAATTACATCTATCTGGTCTACTGTGTCATTTAAAGCTTGTGTTTCCTCATTAATTTTCTGTTTGGATGATATGTCCATTGGTGTAAGTGAGGTGTTAAAGTCCCCCACTATTATTGTGTTATTGTCGATTTCCTCTTTTAGAGCTGTTAGCAGTTGCCTTATGTATTGAGGTGCTCCTATGTTGGGTATATATATATTTATAGTTGTTATATCTTCTTCTTGGATCGATCCCTTGATCATTATGTAGTGCCCTTCCTTGTCTCTTGTAACATTCTTTATTTTAAAGTCTATTTTATCTGATATGAGTATTGCTATTCCAGCTTTCTTTTGATTTCCATTTGCATGGGATAACTTTTTCCATCCCCTCACTTTCAGTCTGTATGTGTCCCTATGTCTGAAGTGGGTCTCTTGTAGACAGCATATATATGGGTCTTTTTCTTGTATCCATTCAGCAAGCCTGTGTCTTTTGCTTGGTGCATTTAATCCATTGATGTTTCAGGTAATTATCAATATGTATGTTCCTATGGCCATTTTCTTAATTGTTTTGGGTTTGTTTTTGTTAGGTCTTCTTTCTTCTCTTGTGTTTCCCACTTAGAGAAGTTCCTTTGGCATTTGTTGTAGAGCTGGTTTGGTGGTGCTGAATTCTCTTAGCTTTTGCTTGTCTGTAAAGGTTTTGATTTCTCCATCAAATCTGAATGAGATCCTTGCTGGGTTAGAGTAATCATCACTTTAAGTATATCACTTAAAGTGATATCATCACTTTAAGTATATCATGCCACTCCCTTCTGGCTTGTAGAGTTTCTGCTGAGAAATCAGCTGTTAACCTTATGGTTTTTCCCTTGCTGCTTTCAATAATTTTTCTTTGTCTTTAAATTTTGCCAGTTTGATTACTGTGTGTCTTGGCATGTTTCTCCTTGGGTTTATCCTGTATGGAACTCTGTGCTTCCTGGACTTGGGTGGCTATTTCCTTTCCCATGTTAGGGAAGTTTTCGACTATAATCTCTTCAAATATTTTCTCGGGTCCTTTCTCTCTCTCTTCTCCTTCTGGGACCCCTATAATGCGAATGTTTTTGTGTTTAATGTTGCCCCAGAGGTCTCTTACACTGTCTTCATTTCTTTTCATTCTTTTTTCTTTATTCTGTTCCGCAGCAGTGAATTCCACCGTTCTGTCTTCCAGGTCACTTATCCGTTCTTCTGCCTCAGTTATTCTGTTATTGATTCCTTCTAGTGTAGTTTTCATTTCAGTTATTGTATTGTTCATCTCTGTTTGTTTGTTCTTTAATTCTTCTAGGTCTTTGTTACACATTTCTTGCATCTTCTCAATCTTTGCCTCCATTAGTTTTCCAAGGTCCTGGATCACCTTCACTATCATTATTCTGAATTCTTCTTCTGGAAGGTTGCCTATCTCCATTTAGTTGTTTTTCTGGGGTTTTATCTTGTTCCTTCATCTGGTACATAGCCCTCTGCCTTTTCATCTTGTCTATCTTTCTGTGAATGTGGTTTTTGTTCCACAGGCTGCAGGATTGTAGTTCTTCTTGCTTCTGCTGTCTGCCCTCTGGTGGATGCGGCTCTCTAAGGGTGCAAACTTGTGCAAGTTTCCTGATGGGAGGGACTGGTGGTGGGTAGAGCTGGGTGTTGCTCTGGTGGGCAGAGCTCAGTAAAACTTTAATCCGCTTGACTGCTCATGGGTGGGGCTGGGTTCCCTCCCTGTTGATTGTTTGGCCCGAGGCAACCCAACACTGGAGCCTACCTGGGCTCTTTGGTGGGGCTAATGGCAGACTCTGAGAGGGCTCACGCCATGAGTACTTCCCAGAACTTCTGCTGCCAGTGTCCTTGTCCCCACGGTGAGCCACATACACCCCCCGCCTCTGCAGTAGACCCTCCAACACTAGCAGGTAGGTCTGGTGCAGTCTCTATGGGGTCACTGCTCCTTCCCCTGGGTCCTGATGCGCACACTACTTTGTGTGTGCCCTCCAAGAGTGGAGTCTCTGTTTCCCCCAGTCCTGTTGACATCCTGCAATCAAATACCACTAGCCTTCAAGGTCTGATTCTCTAGGAATTCCTCGTCCCCATTGCTGGACCCCCAAGTTGGGAAGCCTGACGTGGGACTCAGAACCTTCCCTCCAGTGGGTGGACATCTGTGGTATAAGTGTTCTCCAGTCTGTGAGTCACCCACCCAGCAGTTATGGGATTTGATTTTACTGTGATTGAGCCCCTCTTACCATTTCATTGTGGCTTCTCCTTTCTCTTTGGATGTGGGGTATCTTTTTTGGTGAGTTCCAGTGTCCTCCTGTCGATGATTGTCCAGCAGCTAGTTGTGATTCTGGTTTTCTTACAAGAGGGAGTGAGAGCACGTCCTTCTCCTCCGCCCTCTTGGTTCAGTATACATATCCACTAATTTCTAAGTTATTATTTTGACCTGCTATTAGTTCCATGACTCTAATTTTGATAAATGGAACTCTCTACATGTTCATGGCTCTCTCAAAACTTCATTCTACTTTTTAATTCATAAGTCTCACAATCGTTTACCAAGCCACCCCTAAAATTTGAGAGAAAATTTGCCAAAATACATTTCTAGCGGTGGAATCTAAGAAATTACCTACGGTCAGTGAAATTTGAATACTCACAGATATAGCGCTCCATATCTGATAGCCTGTATAAACGATCAAGAAAAATATGTAATTGGATGGATGGGGCAAGTTTTGTAAGGAACCCATAAAAACACCCAGAGACAGAATTATTGCTCCATTCAGGATCTGGATAGCCTGTAAGAAGCAAAAAAAGAGAATGCATAAATGGTCCGATACTAGTGTACATTGAGAAGAGACCATTTTATTTATTTATTTTTCTTTGCCTTTATGGTTTTATTACAGGATGTTGAATATAGTTCCCTGTGTTATACAGTGGGACCTTGTTGTTCATCCATTCTATATATGATAGTTTGTATCTGCTAATCCCAAACTCCCAATCCAACCCGCCCCTACCACCCTCCCCCTTGGCAACCACAAATCTATTCTCTAAGTCTGTGAGTCTGTTTCTCTTTCGTAGATAAGTTCATTTGTGTCATGTTTTAGATTCTACATATAAGTGATATCATATGGTATTTGGAGAAGAGATCATTTTAATTTTCCTTAGAAAGGAGATATCAGTTCTTGAAATAGTCAAAAAAACGAAGCCTAAATTAACTGGGCAAAAGCCTACTCTGGGAGGTTTCTGTTCCCTGGATTCCCACCGATTCCAGTGGCAACATTTCATCCTCCCCTTTCCCCCCTACTTCTGCCCATTCTCACAAACTCCTTTCAGAAAGTGGCAGAAGAGTGAAGGAGTTACGGCTGATAACGTAGACTGGGTGGAACTGTCTTCCCAGCATACTTTGGGGCCATAATATGATGAAGACCATTCTCCAGTGTTGATAGGATGTCTCCCACCATGAGATTATGCCTCTGAATTTCTACTCCTCAGGTCTAAAATATGCCCCAGTCTTTTCTTAAAGGAACAACATTATTGATTCAGTGATGAGTAACTCGAGACATATTCTTTAAGGTCCAATATTTTTTAAGTCATTATATTATATAGTACTGTATGGAAGATACCTTTCTGGATAGCAATACAGCACAATGGAAAAAGTTTAAGAACCATGGAGGAGCCAGTTGCAAATCCAAAGCTGACCAGTTACTAGTTGTATGACCTAGTAGTGGGGATCTCAGTTTTCACATGTGTAAAATGGAAATAATTTTAATTTCATATTAACATTGCAAAGTCCAGGCTCAAAAACTATCCCTTGGGAAATAGGTACATATTTTAGATAGAATATCTAATATGCTAAAAGGTATGTAATGTGGGGAGCATTGCTCCTTCATCATCAGAGAATTACTTGGTTCTTTCTCCAGCTTCTTTCCTCACCACTCCCTAGCTCAGAGCTCAGTACAGCCTTTTTGTTCTTTCAATCCTCCCAAACTCTCAGAAGTCTTGAATCTTCATCAGTACTATTCCCATCTCCTTGAAACACATTTCCCCTCAAGCTCCACCTGAATAATTTCTGCTCTTCTTCCAGCCTGAATCTCAGCGCACAGGTCATACTTTGATAAAGGAAGACTTTTTTGATCCTGGCCAAGTCTGGATGAAGCACCCCTTTTAGACACTCTCAGAATTTTCCCTTGTCATACACTTATCAGTCTGAGCCTCAACTGACTGGATACTTAACTGTATCTCTCTGTCTTCTCAGCGTTGAAATACCAGTCTGTCATGGGGTGGGCACTCAGTTAGTACACGTCAAGTAAATAATAAATAAACTTTTGGTCCAGCCTGATGTAGTCACGTCTTATGGATGAGAATAGAAAATATGTTTGCAAGGATTGGAACCCCTCATACAGAGAAACTCCAGAGCAGTTCTGGAGGGAGAAAATCTATTCTAAGCACTTTTTTTTTTAATTGAAGTATAGTTGATGTACAATGTTGTGTTAGTTTCATGTGAACAGAAAAGTGAGTCAGTTATATACACGTAGACAACTATTTTTTTCAGATTCTTTTCCCTTATAGGTTATTACAAAATATTCAGTAGAGTTCCCTGTGCTATACAGTAGGTCCTTGCTGGTTATCTATTTATTCTAACCACATTATTTAGTCTGACTTTCTAAAATAACCATAAATATCAGGGAGAATTTTCAGCCTCCAGGTAAAATCAACTGTGTTCTACAATTTGGTCAATTTAGCTTTCTTTCTTTTTTTTTTTTTTTAAATGAGAGAAGTGTGGGTTTCCTAAGAACCCCTCAGGCAAGTTCACCCATCTAGCTCTTAGCGTGGTTCAGACATTGTTCTAAGTGTTACTCATGTTCACCAATTTACCTCTCACAATATCCATATGAAAGGGGCTACTGTTATGATGCTTTCATTTTACAGACAAGGAAGCTGAACATCAGAGGAGTTAAGTACCTTGCCCAAGGCCGCACAGCCAGAAATTTGAGGAGCTAGGGATCAGAAACTGTCATCTGGCTCGAGTATCATTTCTGTCCCTCTGAGCTTGTGCAGAAATTCACTCACCAAATCCCACACCTCAGGTATATGAAGACCATCCCTCATTACTAGAGCTGGTGGCCAAAGTTGGGTGCAGCCATTTGCATTTAATATATCTAAGGGGTGTGTATCTGTGTATCCATGCCCACATTCTCCAAAGCAATAACTACGTAATATCAAAGTAACATCAAATTCTAAGGAGAAGCATCCTCATACTAAATGTTCCAAATCTCTAGTCAACAGCCAAACAAAAAAGTCTGCAGACATTCTCAGTGGCCCACGGGGTGGCACCTTTGACAGACAATAATGAAAGGGGGCTTTCTGTGGAGAGAGAATCTCGAGGATGTATCTTGGAGGCTTCAGGCATTGGCCAAATTCTATCCTCTCAAACCCATTTGGTTGCAAGCAGGAGCCACTCAGTAAGGATCACTTATGGTGTCTTTTCTGGAAGACAGCAGCCTCTTTTGGCTCAGGCTTGATGTATCTTTGCCTTAGAGGCGTCAGTGAAAATGTTTTCTTGGTGGCCTGCAGAGCGTGCTAACCACATCTGGGTCTGCGGCCTCTCGAGTTCACTGTGCTCTCCCAAAGGTTGAGTGTCGATTAGGAAACTGGTGTCAGGAGTAACTGTCTTCTGGCTTTGAGATGTTGCTTAATACATTGTTAGGACAAGAAATACAAGCGGAAATATGGGGAGATGGGTGGGAAAGGGTTGAGGAATGGAGGTAGTTATTTGCATGGTAAGAAGAGACAAAGTCGGATTATAGGAGTAGCGTCTGGAGGAGGGAGGGTGGTTAGGTTCATTGTCGCATTCAATTCACGCAGTCTTAGAAAGGCTAATTAATTCGCCGACAACATAAAGATGATGCAAATTGTAGTTTAAATGCATTTAATGATTACCATGTACGAGTCACCATTGTAAATGCTTCCCATGTATTCACTCCTTTCTTCCTCGTAATACCTAGCTCTTCTAGGTATAACCATTAACCCAATTTTATATAGAAAAGTATGGCATAGAAATGTTAACCAGCTTTCCCAACATCACACGGTAAACAGTCAAGCTGCGTGCAAAACTCAGGTTCTGGGTCAGGTGAAGTGACAGTCAGGCCTGTTCCCCCAGTGGGACTTTAATTGCGCCTCCTTTCGCTTTCAGAAGTGTCGCTGTTTAGAAGATAAATGGTACAGTCATCCTAAATAAATAAGGTCCTGAAATAGGTGACGGAAAAATCAGAGGAAAGAGGCGGGGAGTAAGGAAAGAGATAACAGGCGAAGATTCAAACCGCAATCCTTAGAGAGGTCCCAGGCAGGACCTGAGGGGGAGGCCCAGAACTGGGGCGCAGTCCCTGATCCGCATGTCAGGTTGGGAAAGTCTATGAGAAAAAGAAGAATGTTCATAGCAAACTAGGCGAAGTTCTAGTTCTAGAAACTGGAGCCTAAGTGGAGACTGGGTCACAGGAAAGAGAAAGGCGGCCAGATGCCATAACCGAGAGACAGCTTGGGAAGGGGGATTGTGAAGTCTGGGGCACCGAATATAAAGTGAGCAGGGGACCAGCGACCAAGAAAACATAACGTACAGGAGCTCTGTGAACAGGGCTGGCAGCGGAGCCTGGAGCAGGGCCTCTGAAGGAACTATCTGGGAGTGAAAGAAGGGACTGAATACAGAGAAGGCCAAATGGAAATCATAAAGAAATAGCTAAAACGATGGCAGGAAAACTATGACCCTCCCCGCCTCATGTTAGCCAGAGCCATTACAAATAGAATATTGAAGAAGAAAGGAAGGGCAAAAAAGTGCTGAAAGGGAAGGAAAGGAAGAAATATGAGGAAGTAAATCCCCCAAAAGCAGTTCCTGTCAACATACTTGTTTAAATTTAGAGCTGTAGAAAGAAAGAGCTTAGAAAGGAAGTTGCTTAAATAAGGCTTCAGTTATCTCATTTGTAAATTTCAGATCCTAGTACCCACCTCAGGGAACAGTATCAAGGTTGAAGACAGAATGCACGTTGAGGTCTTAGCAACTACGGTCTTCACGTGAACTCAAAATAAATAAATGAAAATGAGAAGCTTCTTCAGTTCTTTAGAGAGAGAATGATTATGAGAAAGTGCTTCCAAAAGAAGATTCGTAAGGATTTCTTCCACTTGCGTGCAATATCCCCTAATTACAAGAGGAAATGTTTTCAAGGAGGCGGGCTAGCTTTTGGTGCTGAAATATCATAATAAATAATCAAGTTCAAAATTTGAGTTGCTGATTTCCAAAAGGAAAAAATAAATCTTTATGTGAGTGGAGTCAGCGTTCTAGCTGTTCATTCACAAGGGACCCATCAGACAATTTGAAAACTGATGTATTTCTCAAGACTTACTTGTCTTAATCCAGTTACTAAATAGCAATGCTTGCATTGTTGGTTTTATCCCTATACCCACGCATGCTGAGGTATACACATACTTACTAAAATTATGCTCTTCTAAGGTAATACCTTTATATGTCTTAATAAGTATATAAACTCTAGTTGAGAAAAAAACCATCAGCCCTAGCATATTTTTTATGTCAGGTTCATTGAAATATAATTTACATGCAGTAGATTTCCTCCTTTTTCAAGTGTACAGTCCTGTGAGTTTTGACTGATGTATAAAGAAATGTAGGGCTTCCCTGGTGGTGCAGTGGTTGGGAGTGCGCCTGCCCATGCTAGGGGACACGGGTTCGTGCCCCGGTCCGGGAGGATCCCACATGCCGCGGAGCGGCTGGGCCCGTGAGCCATGGCCGCTGAGCCTGCGCGTCCAGAGCCTGTGCTCCGCAATGGGAGAGGCCACAACAGTGAGGCCCGCGTACCGCAAAAAAAAAAAAAAAAAGAAATGTAAACAGGACCATCATCAAGCTAAGAGCCACTACCAATTCTTGGAATGTTGAACTTTTCTTTTTTTTTTTTTTTTTTGCTTTATAATTGAACTCTAACTCCACGATGTCACTAAAACTTACTTCCGAAGAAAAAGAATTCCTACTCTCACCTGCCCTGCTCTCCACTTCTCAAGGAAAACAGATGTTTTCGAGAAGAAAATAAATCAGCATTTAAGCATATGTATGACTTAATACTAACTCTTTGATGAGTTCTAATTATACCAAGACAGGCTTTGCCTCTACCAAAACTGCAAGCAATGTGTTGATTACTTGTGTGATTATATTGCGTTCTGTAAGTGTTCTGGGTGTTTATTCCTTCATCACTTACATATAATGAAACAGACAATGAACATATAAACAAAGACTGATACTTCTATGGAGAATCTGGCCAAGCTACCACCTACAGACTTACAAACACATAATATTTAACAACAGAGACATTCTTGCAATTTTATTCATTGTTTATTTCCATTAAGGACTGGAAATGATTTAAGTGACACCTTAACCAAAATAATTATGTTGAAGCTCTGAAATCTTTGCATATTTGATTTTTAACCCTACCAGCTCTCATCATTTATTGCCCAACTCACAGGAGCCAACAAGACATTTTATATGCATTTTCTTTTCCTGGGTGATGGTGGAAGCATTAGGGGATAGGAAGGTTTCATAAAATATCTGTAGATTGAAATATTGAGCTCCTACTGCCTGGGAGGTTGTTAAGACTCATGGCTGACTTTACCTGAGTGAGAAATAAACTTGTGTCCTTTTAAGCCACTGATATTCGAGGCAGTATTATTGTAGCAGAACCTAATCAACACTGTTTGATGCAGGTGAAGAAACAGGTTTATGCTGCTTTATACAACTGGCACAATGAGACTCAAATCTGAGCTCATTTACTCCTAGATTCCAGCTGTTCCAACACAGTCAAGTTACCCTAAACTATTATTCAAGAACACGCCAAAGACCATCATTTCCTCAACTTAAAAGAAAAAAGCACACAAGTTTCCATGAGAAAATAAGAAAAGAAAAAAGCAGTGTGTGGAAGGGAGAGGAACAAAGGGCGTACTCATATATTTTTGAATTAATTATAAAACTGAAGACTTAATTTAAATTCTTATATAGTTTCCATATATTTGAATGAGAGTGAAAAACATTAAATTGAATTCAGTCAAAAAGTAGATCCCATAGTCATATCCCACCCCTTGCTTTCATTTTCTCAAATGCTATTTAAGGTGGTCTTTGATTAATTATCTAGTTACCTTGACATCTCAGCTTATCATGGGCAATGTCCTAGCCTCAATCTTCTCAATTTTAGTAAAATTATTACTATCCATACAATTGCCTGAGCCAGACACCAGGGTGTCGTGCTTGATCGTGATTTATTTCTTACCCTACTTTCAATCCATTTGGAAATTCTTTCTTCCATCTCCAAAGCGTATAGAAAATTGGTCTACATATTTTCTATCTTCTCCACCACAAGCTCCGGCCGTGATAACATCATCACTTGCCTTAATGTCAAATTAAATTCTTACAATGCCCCCTAATTACTGCTCTAATCCGTGTTCATAGGGTAATGAGTGATTTTAAAATACAAATCAAATCATGTCACTCCCTGCTTACAACGCCTGCAATAGCTTCTCATTTCACTGAGAGAAAAACTGTATGTTCCTTCTGGTGGCCTTAAGAGGTTCCCCGTAATGATATAAGTTTTTGTGGACATGGACATTCTCTTTCTTCTTTTGGTAAATGATTAATAAATTCGTTAAAAGATAATGCATAAAGCCCAGTCACAATTAATGGGTACTTTTAGTTTTTGTGAAGGTAAAGTTAGAAGTTGTATAATTAAAAGTTAACAAAATTTAAGAGTAATTAATGTTTAACCACTGATGTGTTTTCCTCTTAAATAAATTATATTTATATAAATTATATTCCCTGTTGTACTCTCTGAGGAAGAGAAGGAAACTAAACTGAACTCTGATTGAACCCCATGAAACTGACATTTTTATCCATCAAAATAAGCACTTCCAAATGTTTTAAAGTAATACATACAAATAATACAGAGAAAAGAGAAATAACTGAATTCATGGTATTTAAGGAAGATGGGAGAGTTTGTGGAATGAAAAATGGGACTGGAGTTGTTCTAGCTTCTATTATTAAATGTTCACATGAATTTAAGACAAACTGCTTCCCCTTTCTAAGCCTCCCTGACATTGCCCATGTAATGGAGTGGCAGGATGAGGGCTCAGGGCCACCCTGCACACTCTTCATTTAGCACAAGAATATTGAAGAAACTTGTTACCTCACGCCCAATAATTTCCTTTGCCTTGAGCAATCACTCATCCTACTCTATATCCTCCCAAATCTGTTGGCATAAAGTAATTTTAGTTCCAGATTCAGAAAAAAGCACTCTCTGTCCATAGCTAAACTTCTTAAGTTTTACTGAGGGCTGTGGAGCTGCTTTAATAGCAATTGTTCTCTAGAAACTAAAGTTCAGCAACTTAAAGCGACGGAGGCAGTAGAGTGGAGTGGTTAACGGCAGACAGATCTGGATCCACATCACCCAGTTTTGTCTTTTTTTTTCCAGCTTTTTTAGAGGTATGATTGACAAATACAAATTATATATATTTAAGATGTACAATGTGATGTTTTGATATACTTATCCATTGGGAAATGATTACCATGATCAAGCTAATTATATCTGTCATCTCACATAGTTAACATTTTGTGTGTGTATGTGTTGAGAATATATAAGATCTATTAGCAAATTTCAAGTGTACATTATTATTTATTATAGTCACCATGCTGTACATTAGGTCTCCAGGCTTTACTTATCTTGTAACTGAAAATCACACTTTGACCAACATCTCTCCATTTCTTCCACTCCCCCCCCAACCCTGAACACCGCCCTTCTACTCTGTTTCCATGAGTTCAACTATTTTAGAGTCCACATCTAAGTGAGATCATGCAGCACTTTTCTGACTCTGTCTGGCTTTTTTCACTTAGCATATTACGCTTCAGGTTCATCCATGTTGTCACAAATGGCAGGATTTCCTTCTTTTTATGGCTGAATAATATTCCACTTTCTAAAGATGTAGATATATAGATATATCACATCTTTATCCATTCATCCACTGATGGACAGTTAGATTGTTTCCATATCTTGACTCTTGTGAATAATGCTGCAATAAACTTGGAAGTGCAGATATGTCTTTGATATCCTGTTTTCATTTCCTTTGGTTATATATCTGGAAGTGGGCTTGTTGGCTCATATGGTAATTCTATTTTTAATTATTTGAGGAACATTCATACTGTTTTCCATAGTGGCTGAAGCAATTTACATTCCTTCCAGTATTGTACTAGGGTTCCCTTTTCTCCACAGCCTACTCAACACTTGTCTTCTTGAGGATAGCCATTCTAACAGGTGTAAGGTGATAGCTCATTATGATTTTGATTTGCATTTCCCTGATTAGTGATGTTGAACACCTTTTCATGAACCTGTTGGCCATTTGTATGTCTTCTTTTGAGAAAAGTCTGTTCAGATTCTTTGCCCATTTTTATATCTGGTTATTTGGGGTTTTTTGCCATTGAGTTGCAGGAGTTCCTTAGATCTTTTGGATGTTAATCCCTTATCAGATGTATGGTTTTTGCAAATACAGTCTCGCCTTCTGTAGTTTGCCTTTTCATCTTGTGGTTTCCTTTACTGTGCAGAAGCTTTTTAGTTTGATGTAGTCTCACTTGTTTACTTTTACTTTTGGTGCTTGTACATACAGTGCTATAAGCAAAAAACCATTGCCAAAACCAATGTCGTGGGGCTTTCTGCCTGTTTTCTTCTAGAGTTTTAAAGTTTCAGGTCTTCTGTTTAAGTCTTTAATCCATTTGGAGTTGATTTTTGTATATAGTGTAAGGTAAGAATCCAATTTCTTTCTTTTTTTTTTTTGTATGTGGGAATCCAGTTTTCCCAACATCATTTACTGAAGAGACAATTCTTTCCCCATTGTATATTTTGGGCATCTTTATTTTTTTGTTTTTATTTTTTTTTAGTAATTTATTTTTTGCTGTGTTGGGTCTTCGTTTCTGTGCGAGGGCTTTCTCTAGTTGTGGCAAGCGGGGGCCACTCTTCATCGCGGTGCGCGGGCCTCTGACTATCGCGGCCTCTCTTGTTGCGGAGCACAGGCTCCAGACGCGCAGGCTCAGTAGTTGTGGCTCACGGGCCTAGTTGCTCTGCGGCACGTGGGATCCTCCCAGATCAGGGCTCGAACCCGTGTCCCCTGCATCGGCAGGCAGACTCTCAACCACTGAGCCACCAGGGAAGCCCCTAATTTCCTTCTTTAATAATCAAATATGAAGTATATTCAATTACTTTTAAGACTCAACTTTACTAATTAATTAGGAAAAGACACACAAGTTAAACTATCTTCATTATAAAAGGACTTTGGCTTTCCTGGGAGTTAGTATGTTAAATTTTAGTCTCTAGCACATTTACATACCTATCTCTATTTTTCTATTCTTCAAAAAACTGTATTTAGAAAATATTTATTGGAGGTTTGTATCAATTAAATCCTGTTGTCATTGAAGACCTATTTCTGAATCTACTCTATAGAACTAAAAATAAAATTTAATGGGTAATAGGATTATCTGATAGTCAACATTAAATTAATAAGACATATCCCTAATAAATAAAAGTATCTAAAAATTCACCTTCACTGAATCAGGACCTTCACTGAATTAGGGGTTTTAGGGATCAGATACCTAAAGAAAGGTTTATAGCAATTATTTTTGTATAAAACCATTGTTTTTCCAACAAAATTCATGAGCCCAATTTCCAAGTTTCGATTTCTCTGTAAATATGGAGTCAGTTTGACTAGAATTTAATAATCCTAACTCTTCTGCTGTTGTCTCAAAATCAGGAATAAAGGATCCAATTTTATTTATTTCATTATCTGTAGAAACTGGTGTAAGCCACACTGATTTCCTGAAGAGAAGAGAAACAAAAAGCAGATAGGGTTGGCATGCTTGTTACCAGGTCTTTCTGAATCTAAATTTGGGGCCAAGCTATTTTATTTTTTACCACTGTTTAACATCATGATCATTTTCAATATGGTTATTTAGGGGTACCTGCACCCTCTGGATAATAGATGATTTGTAATACTTGTCTTAGTAGAGTACCAAAGCACCCAGTAAAACAGACTTAGACAAATGGATCCTAAGAACAGTAAAAGTTGTCAAAAGCTTAATTACTGGTGACAGAGGTGTGTTGTGTGTGTGTGTTTGTGTGTGTGTGTGTGTGTGTATATACAGCAGTAAAGCTCATGGACCAAAAACCTAATCATATACCTTTGTTGGCCTAGTCTTCATTTTTAAGAAAGATAGCTGCAAATAATATAATAATATTACAATCAAAATAGAAATGCCTTAGTTATCACTCTTAATCTGGTAGCCTATGGAGAAGCAATAGCCCCAGGGGATTAGGTTAGAACTTTTTACATTACTCTAAGCACTGGCCAGTATATAGGAATGAAAGTGTATGTGTGAGTGAGTGAGTGTGTGTGTGTGTGTGTGTGTGTGTGTGTGTATGTGTCTCTGTGTGTATCTCTGTGTGTGTGTATGTGTGTGTGTGTGTGTACACAGAATCAACTGTTAATTTCTATTTAGGGGTCAGCTACTCCCCAGAATATCACTGAGTCTCTCAGCCTTGGTCTTTCCTTAAAATAAGTTGAAGGGAAGGTCAAGAGTATTCAACAATGTGGTTGTACTTGATGCCACTGAATTATTCCCTTAAAAATGGTAAATTTTCTCTTATGTATATTTTACAACAATTAAAAATACCAATTCTCCCTCACCCCCCAAAAAGGGACTCTGATGATGTTAAAAGATATTACACATTGGCTCTGAGCTCAAAATTCTTTTTTCATGTCAGCTATTTCCATATATTAAACAGGGATAAAATTTTTCCTTGTGGTTTTCAGGTGGTTTCTAAGATTTTTCACTCCGGGTAAATATTCACTCAGGGTAAATATTTCAGTGTCATGGTAGAAGTGTATCAGGATATACTATTCCACTTGGTGTCACAGTTCACGTGGAGTCCTTTTGGGATTCAGCTTCTCGGTTCCACAGAACTGCAAACAAACTGCATTTAATGATAGGCTGATAAGCCTGTCCTTTCCTGTATGTCCATGAGTTAGTATTAAAATGAAGCCTTTCCTTTCCTGTATGTCCATGAGTTAGTATTAAAATGAAGAATTGGTTTTCTCTTAACTTTTTAGTCATTTACTCTAACATGGAATTGAACCATAAAATATATTAGAAAAAGAGTATTACGAAGGAGAAAACACTGAAAGGTAATATCATGTTTGATTCTTCCACTTACTAAGGTGACTGAGGATTTGCTTTAAAGTTCAGTTACTGTAAAATAACCTAGTGACACAAGATTATATAATGTTTTTATTCTAAAATGAATATTTTAAAATTAAAAAGTACTCAACATATTTTTAAATGCTAATTTGGTGTTCATTTGGACTTATGCTTATGAGCGAGTCATGTTATAGTCTCTAACATCTACACTTCTGTAGAAGCACATGGTAAGTAAAGGTGAAACTAACATATTCAAAAGGAGTATGGTCTATTGGACTCACCTAGAGGCAGAACATTCCAAAGGGATTTTCTGATGGTCACAATGTATATTCCTAGGGTTAAAGTACACCTCTGTTTGAAAAAGGAGAGTATCCTCTGAAACAACCTAGGAGAGCACAAAGGTTAAGTAGAAGATATTTCTAGTAACAAAGGGGGCAGGTACACATTTGAATAGGAAGTAGAAAACATTCAAGGTCTCAGAAATGGCTACTGTCACTTTCAGGTACATACAAAGATCTGACAACCCACTGGGACAGAAGAGGAGTGTTATCTGTAAGAGTGAACTTAAAGTACCTGGAAAAAAATCTTAGCAGTACATAGGAGCAAACTGAAACTGTTACTCAGAGCTATCTTTATCATGCATTCACAAAAGGTTTTCAGTAGTTCTTCTGAGAAAGATGATTTGGAGATCAAATAACAGAGTGGTTTAAAACATAAGCTTTGGAGGGGAATCCTCCTGTTTGGGCATCTAAACTACCACCAACTGGCTGTGCATCCCTGGCCAAATTATTAAAACACCTTCTGAAGTTCTAGCTCCCTCATTTCTAAAATAAAGACAACATCTAATTCATAGGTGACAGTTTTAAATAGGCATTGACCCCAAATACTTTTATAGTATGAATATAAATTGTTTAAATTTGGGAATCTATGAAAAGATAACACCCCAAGATAACAACACAGTTTTAAGATTTGTGCCTGGCAAAATAACTGACAGAGATCTTATTCCAGTAAAAATCTAGTCCCCATAGAGGCACACATCCTGAAAGATGTGTTGAATATAAAATACCTTCCCAGAATTGGTGACCTCTCACATTAGGAACATTGAATGGAATTTAAAACTATCTCCTGAGCTTTAGTGAAATACGACAGAAGCCTAAAGACAACTTAAAATCAGTTCACTAACGAGTCTGGAAATCTGTGCTTTAAGTCTTATGCACAAAGAGGACTCAATATTCAGTGACCGAGTACGGAACTGTATTGTCGTCTATCCATAAATTACTCTAACTAGAAGCAAAATTTGTTCTTAAACAACAAAAAACACCAGGACAATAATTTTAGCACCAGGCATAAAATTGTGAAAAAATATCTAGGTTTGTTTTTTGGTTTTGTTTTTTTAACAGATGATCATTATTCTTACCTTTGTCCTGATCCCACAGTCATGCACAGGGTATATAAAATCATAGGCATATGTTTGTATCCGAGGCACAGGGCAACCCGATCCCAGATATAATTCATCAGCAAATATATACAAATTGCTGCTGTTTGCACATGGGCTTACAGAGACCATCAGCCAGTCCATAGAACAACTTATTTTCACTGCAGAAAGAATCGTGAGAAAAGGTCAGATGTGTATTTATCTTAAGCGGGAGCTCAAAGAACATCCAGCTACACCCTTTGTGATAAAAGATGTTCCTTTCTCTGGCAAAGGTTATCACAGCTTAAAGAACAGCATATGGGGGTTTTCATATTACCACTACTTTCCAAAATATCTGCATAATTATAGCCTCCAATAAGTAAATTTCAGTTCTTTCACAGGGAAAAAAATCAATACACAAGAACATCATTATCTTCTAGCCCCCTGCCTCCTCTTAAAGAAATTAGATTCCAAAGAGCATGATATAGTTAGGACTACACAGAAGGGACAGAAGTAAACTGCAGTACATTAGAAGAATGATGTATTCTCTGTAATACTTTTCAAAGAGGGAAAAGGAGGAAAGTTGGTATGGTAGAATTCATATCTAGAGCAACCAGAACCGGAAACAATCATAGCCACAAGAGGAAATAGTCTGCAGAGAGAAAATCTACTGTCTGGGATGGAAGTTTTATGAAAATTTTAACATGAAACCCATTCTGTCCTTTACACTGAGCATCTTCAGTAAGTCATAATAGTCACTATTTCTAATTGAGTCATTTTCCCTTTGGAAATGAAGTGTACTGGATTCTGACTTAGTGTGCTAGACAGTCATTAACCAGAGGTTCTCAGGGGATGACCAGAGTTAAATTTCATAGGTCCTTCTGTTGTTCAGAAGGAAAGTAAAGATTTATTAGCTTTAGTATTTAAAGATGCATGATAAGTAGTCGGGGGGTGGTGGTGGTTGTGGAACCTAATAAACTAGATGGTAAAACTTCCAAATTGGAGAAGAACAAAATAGAATGAAGGACAAAAATAAGCAAATTTCAAACAACATAGAAGGAGGCAAAAAAGGAAAAGGTAAAAAGACAAAAAAACAAATCAAAAAAGACAAAAGCAGTAAGATGGTTGCAATAAATTACAAAGTATAGGACTCCCCTGGTGGTGCAGTCTTTAAGAATCCGCCTGCCAGTGCAGGGGACACGGGTTCAAGCCCTGGTCTGGGAGGATCCTACATGCGGCGGAGCAATTAAGCCCGTGTGCCACAACTACTGAGCCTGTGCTCGAGAGCCAGCGAGCCACAACTACTAAAGCCCGCATGCCTAGATCCCGTGCTCCGCAGCAAGAGAAGCCCCAGCAATGAGAAGTCCGTGCACCACAGCAAAAAGTAGCCCCCGCTCGCCGCAGCTAGAGACGGCCCGTGCACAGCAATGAAGACCCAACGCAGCCAAAAATAAATAAAATTTAAATAAATAAATTACAAGTATACTAGCAATAATAATGTAAATGAACAAATGTTCAAATGTAAATGAAACATATTGTTAAAAATATGAACAAAATACTCCAGGCCAAATCACCAACAGAAGAATGATGAAATAAATTGAAATGCATTTATATAATCAAATTCCATACAACGTGGAAAATAAATTATAGTTATACCTATAAACATATAAATCTAAAAACAATTATGAGAAAGAAGCAAGTCACAATATACACCTTATATATCTATTGACACAAATGAGAAATAAACACTTTTCAAAAGCTTTTTTTCCAAGCAAACAGACTATTCTTAGATATCCAGTATATATCCTATATTTATTAAGGTATTAGAATCATAACCCAAAACATGATTCTTGACCTCATCTGATACAGCCTCTTTGTGTTTTACAAAAGCTAGAGTAACAGGGTTTAAAGCTTATCTTATTTTGACATTAATATAAGCAACTGTAATACAACCTATCATCAAAGCTAGAATACTTTGAACATGGATTTTATTTAATTTTCTTTATATTCCCAGTGAAACAGAACACAGATACATATATATATTTGAATCACAGCCCTTGCCGATGGTAGTACCTGCACGCAGGACTTCTAGATGAACAGAAATTGCAGAATTTCTACTTTAAGAAAGGAAGGACAGGAGAGTGACAGCCTGGCTGGTAATCTCCCCTTTAGGAAGACAGAGTTCTTGCTGCTGCCCGGACGGGGTTTGAATTCTGCAGACACACCTTTATTAGCTTAAAAGAAACTGGTAGACTGCAATACAATATATTCATGAGTCAGTGAAGGCCACCAAAAGCAAAGATTTACAGTCAGCTTGAATATAAGTTCTGCCAATTAGACTGATTGTACTTGGAGCCTCAGATGAAGATGTAAACCGGGCTGAAATGGTTAAGTTCACTCCAGGGGGCAATTCTACCGGGTAACTGGAACTTAAGCTACAATGGGTTGGGTTGACATTTAAGACAAATTTCCTAGACTCTCACTGGTCTCCTTAGTTACTACATATGTTCTGAATATAGCCACAACCAAAGCATTTGCACATCAATTCTCTTTGGAACCTAACAAAACCCAGAAAGTAAACAAAGGTAATATCCTCTTGTTCCACAAATAAGTAGTTCAGTCACTGCCGAAGTCTGATCAATGCCTCCAGTCCCCCACCAGCATGTCTTTAAAGGCAGAAGGAAAAAATGAAACAGCAAAGCAGCAATAGGAGTTTGACTCAGGTACGATGATAACTAGCTATTATCTCCTACAGGAAGAATATAAGGTGAGGAGTAAATTGGTAAGGGGTTCCAAGTCTAAAGCCTTACTTAACAGCTGCATTTAGAGGATATCTGGTGAATGAGTATGTGGTCAGAAAAATTATTAGGAGGCAAGATTTTCTTCCTAATGCAATTTAGATGACTTGTCACTGATGCCAGTCTTGATAGTACATTATGTGCCAGACATTATAATTGGAGTTTATATCTCATCTAAAAATTAATTATTGGTACATGTGCTCTAAGACACAAATCATAATCATAATTGACTTTGACCGTATACTCTTCACAGATTTACTTAGTAAACTCTTCCTCTATGGTAACTATAGAAATGCTAAGAATCAGATAATTTTTCCACAGCAAGAACTCATTAAATTCTTTCCCTATAGATGAATCTTAGTTTAGGAATTGACAACAGGTGGTCATTGGAAGAAATAAACAAGTGTCTTTAAAAATGACCATCTGATATATGTAGCTGAAAGAAACAAAGACACGAATATGAAAAGCTACATGCACCTCAGTGTTCACGGTAGCATTATTTACAACTGCCCAAATAAGGAAGCAACCTAAGCATCCATCAGCAGATGAATGGATACAGAAGATGTGGGGTGTATATATATATATATATATACACACACAATAGAACACCACTCAGCCAGAAAAAAGAATGAAATCTTGCCATTTGCAGCAACATGGATGGACTTGGAGGGCACTATGCTAAGTGAGATAAGTCAGACAGAGAAAGACAAATACTGCATGATATCACTTATGTGGAAGCTAAAAAATACAATGAACTATAGAGTATAACAAAAAAGGAACAGACCCACAGATATAGAGAACAAGTTAGTGATTACTGGTGGGGAGGGGGGCATATAGGGGTGAGCAAGTGGAAGGTACAAACTATTGGGTGTAAGATAGGCTACAAGGTTGTATTGTACAATATGGGGAATATAGCCAACATTTTGTAATAACTATAAATGGAGTATAACCTTTTAAAATTATAAAAAAATAAAACTTTTAAAAAATGACCATCTGCCGTCAGTATTTTAGTATCTCAGACTTCTCACAAATAAGCCTAACATGACTGTAAGTCAGCTGGTCATGTGTCAGATAGTCATTTACTGTCTTCTTTTCTATGTGACAGTGCTCATGTACATATCCACTGCAAAGTAGTAAAGTAAGATCACACAGCGAAAATAGCTAGTCATTCAAATCTTGACGAGGAAAGTTCCCAAACCAGTCACAGAGACCTAGTAGGCCTTGGAGGACATCCAGGATTCTCTTAAACACTTTGGAAAATCTGAACCTTCCCAGCATGAAGAAATAGTTCTACGATTAATGAGCGAGATACCTCCAGCACATTTGAGCCTGGAAGTTCTTGGTTTTTAAGGATAAGTCATCAAGGAAGTAAGAAAATCTAGGGAGATGTTTAAGACAAAAGTAGGCTTTGGAGAAGGCAGGTGTTCTACATCAGTGATTGTACCCTCCAAGTCACCTCTCTCCACGTGTTCAAAATATTGTTCTAACATCAGCTAGATAAGATTACCAGGGAAATCCTTCCTAAATGAATAAAGGTTCCAACAACTGGATTAAGATAGATTCAAAAGGGTAAGTGGATAGGGACATACAGGAAGTCCATGCTTCTGGCTTCACTACTTCTTGTTCATACTAGTTTTAGGGTCAAGTTTCAGTTTGACATTCTGAGCTTGTGTCTCAAGTAGCTGAGAAATGGTTTGAGAAAAAGCCTGAGGAACATGCATAGCTGTGCGTACACTAACTGCGGTAGAACCTTCCTTACACCCAAGCATCACGTACCGTAGCCAGGCCTGAACACCCTACTCACCCCTCCCAGGTAACTGGAATTCTTCTCCGACTCACAGGTCACTGCCCTTTCTCCACATGTATGGAATTAAATGATTGAAATTACTGAAATGCCAATAATTAACTGCCGCAGGGTGAGCTGCAGTAACCTAGGCATTCTGAAAGATTCATCTTAGGTAAAATGGAAAGATCAGAAACTAAATGTGGTTCTTGTTCAGAAAGGGCTTATAGGCCAAATGGGTAAGAAATTCACATATCATTTCCCCAAAAGAGACCCCACTTCAAGCAGAAGGAAACAGGAACATCAAGTGACTTTTAAAAAAACTTAGAGAACACAAAAAGTAATATTGAAATGCTGCCTTAGACTAGTTGAAATTTAGTCTGGGCTTGAAGCTGGGAAGCATCTGGATAACACAAAAAAAGTGGAGAACACTCCAGGTATAATAGAAAAGATATTGAATCAATTTATAGACAGACCAGACACTGATTTAGCTTTATCCTATTGGCTTTGCAGAACTGCTGATGAATTTAACATGAGTGAAGGCCAGATTGAATTTTAAAAAGAACAAAAGAGCAGTATCATCATCAGGGGGAAATACGAAGGGCCTGGAAGGAGGAAGGTCAGTAAAGATACAATCAAATATCTTACAATACCACCAAGTACTGGTAATTGGCAGTGAGTTCAAAAGGGCAGCCTAAAACATAGAGCCGAGGACTATTTCTGAAGAATCTCTGCAAATGAGGATTCAGATAGAAGATGATAACATAGAAGAAAGAAACATCTCAGACATTTAGGCAGAAAGTTAAAATGTGTCCTCAATATAAAGACTCAAGTCCAGTTGGCCTGAAAGTACTTCTTTTCTAGCAAATGGTAAGATCAGATCTCTATAGGGAGTAGAGCACCTGCTTGGAAAGATGGAAAGCAGTCATTCTGAGGAACCCTGCAAGGAAGCATTCTCTAGTTCATTTACCGTTGATGTTCTCAGCACAAGGCCAAATCAAGGCAGCAAGGAGAATCAAGATTTCTGAAGCCATAGAGACCTCCATGTGAGCAGACCCCCAGCCCAGGACTCCTTGGGACATAGGAAGTGGGAACAGCTTAAGTGATTTTATAATGGCATCCCATGCTCAGCTGCCTTCATTTTGCTACTTCGTTAGATCACCCACGGGGTGGTTTCCACAGTGTCAACCAACTAAAACCTGAGACTCTCCTGATTACCCCAACCCCAATGCTCAAAGAGGCCCATCAGGTGAAAAGTGCTAACTGATAACTGTGTGTGCCTGAGGCCTGTTAAAATCATCTGAGAAGCTGGCAAGGCACACACTTGCAAAAAAATGAAAGCACAGAAAACTCTTTTCACTAGGTAATTTTCAGGTGTCATCTAATATGCTGAATAACCTAAATCATACATATTTGAAATCAAAAGACTCTTATTTCTTAATTTCTACGGGTTTGGCTGTGGAAGAATCAGCAGCAGAGATGATAAAGTGACTTTAATCCCTGAGACAGAGACCTAAAGAAAAACCGTCTTTCTTGACCTCAAGAAAATCCACAAATTCTTCTCTGTTAATTCTTCCATAAATTGTTCTAGTTACTCTAGTCGGGTCAAGCCTTGAAATTATTTGCTTATAACACAAGATATACACACACACAATATCATAAGGGTAAATATATATATATATATATATTTGTCCTCATGTTTTATATACATATGTATATATAATTTTATATATAATCAACATAAATTCATTTTAATAGTTGGAATAAAAGTTCCAGCTAAAGGTTTTTCTTGTTTTTGCTAAAATGTCAATCGTGACATTTTTAGTTTTAAAGTGAACTTGGAAATCAAGTCTCACAGTAAATAAACTTCAAAGAATCAGAGTCGAAGACCTATCGTTGTTTTTAGTGACATCTGAATTATATTTTCAATGTTACAATCTGCTTTCAAATAAGCACGTGCACAGGGCTTCCCTACATGTCACAAAAAGGACTTTCGTTTCCAACATCACGTCCTCTAACGGAGAGTGAAACCCCAGAGCGGGGACTCACACAGTTCCTGCATCTGGAAGGCCTGGAGAACCCAGTCACCAACTACAAAGACAAAAGAGAGCTGAAGAAAGACAAAGATAAGTCCACGTTATTATTTTGTCTTTCATTTTCTTTTTTTAAAAAACTTTCTCCTGATGCTATTAACATTTCTTTCATCTAAAATTCATAAACTTTACATTTAACTTTCAAATCATTCCGATATAGGCATCTAATATTTTTTTCCTAAAGGCACCTGTGTCTACTAGTTAAGAGCTTAATTAGAACCATAGACTAATTTCTCCACTCTCAGTTTATATAAATTTGGGAAAGTTAAGGCTCACGTTCATACTCTGTAAAAAGGAGATAATGATACTACCTACCTTATAAGTTTGTTTTGAATATTAAAAGAGATAAAGGTAAACAGTCTAGCCAAAATTAATAGTGTACAAAAAAAACATGTAACACATGACTGTTTTCCTCAAACTTGAGCACAGTTAATTCCAGGGTTTTATGCAACGTTCCTGGGACTACTCAAAGCCACAGAATGAGCAAAGTCCATTTTTCTGAAATTCCAATTTTAATTCCAAATTTTGTTGTGAAAGGATAATGGAATTTCAATATAACTTTAATGTAAAATGGATAGAGATAAGGCAGAGATAATATATAAATCTTATTTTTAAGCAATTTCTAACTTAGAGAAATGTTGCAAATATACATAACTTATTTTTTCCTGAACATTTTGGGAATAATTTGCTAATATGATACTCCCTCATTCCAAAATATTTTAGAGTATGTTTCCTGCAAATAAGGACATTCTCCCACTGCAATGATTCTCAATATGTTGTCCTTGGATGCTGTGGGCCCACAGGATCAAAACTATTTTCATAATAATGCTAAGACATAATATGCCCTTTTCACCATGTTGACCTTTGCACAGATGTATAAAAACAATGGGGGTCAAACCACTGCCTAAGCAAGAAAGGCAGCGCCACCAAGCTGTGTTAGTCGTAGTCGTATTCTTCACCACCACATACTCACAGAAGAAGCCAGTTTCACTTAAGAATCAAAGCAGTAGGGCTTCCCTGGTGGCGCAGTGGTTGAGAGTCCGCCTGCCGGTGCAGGGGACACGGGTTTGTGCCCCAGTCCGGGGATCGTCTGGAACCTGTGCTCCACGACGGGAGAGACCACAGCAGTGAGAGGCGCTTGTACCGCAAATAAAAAAAAAAATCAAAGCAGCAAAAGTTATTCATTTTATTAAATGTTGATTGACCCTTGAGTACATGTCTTTTTAATATTCGGCATTATAAAATGGAAAGTATGAATGAAGCATTTCTGCTGTGTATCAGAGCGTGGAGATTATGCAATTTATTGTTTGATTTGTGAGGTGAACACAACCTTTTTTCATAGAACATCATATTTACCTGCAAGAACGACTATCAGACAAACATTGATTATTTGCACTTGGGTTTTTGACAGATATTTTTAGAAACAGAATGAAATATTGGCTGTCACTTCAAGAAAACAACTGACAGTTTTTGTATCCAGAAATAAAATTCAAGTTTACAAGCAAAATTTAGAAAACTTGCATTCCCCACATTCAGAGTGCAACTGTGAGGGGTTTTTTGGTATTGCATAATGAAACATGTCAACATTTGGAAATTCTGCATAACTGAGTGAACCAATATTTTCCAAATAACCAATGCATACTGTGATACAAGTATGCATGTGTAAACGTTTCATTCAAAATACAAGAGAGATCAATGGACTTTAATATAACTGAGTATGAAATGTTCATTGATATATTTTCTGTTTCCACACTGCAACTAACCTTGAAGAACTACCTTTTGTAGAGAATTAGTGGTATCAAACAACAGCCACAATTATTTGAAGAGTATTAAAATACTCCTCCCTTTTCCAAATACATATTTGTGTGAGGCAAAGTTCTTTTCACATACTTTAACCAAAGTAACATATCACAAAGCCTTAATGTAGAAGGACATATGAGAATCTAGCAGTCTTCTATTAAACTGGACTGGAGACTTGCAAACATGTAAAACAATGTTACTCTTCCATTTTTTGTGAAAATAATTATTTTTTATAAAATGCTTATTACTTATGTTAACGCATGACAGGTTTATTGCAGCTATTTAATAAAGATTTAAAATTTTTACTTTAATTTTTAATATGGTAATTTGCACAGAGTAAACCCACATAAACAAATTTCTTTGGAATTCTCAATATCTTAAAGACTATTTGGTGTCAGAGGTCCTGACACCAAAAGTTTGAGTATCATCAAAATCAAAAACTTAATATTAACATCTTTCAAATTTCTCCAGTTGTCTCATTAATGGCCTTTATAGCAAAAAATAATGATAAAATAAAATCCAGTTCAGACTCACATGTTGTGGTGCACGTAGCTGTCATATCTCTTTATTCTCCAACATTTCTTCAATCTTTCCTTGATTTTTCATGACCTCGACATTTGTATGTTGTGCATCGCACTCAATTTGTGTCTGATATTTCTTCATCATTAGGTTTGCAGGATTATCACAGCAGTGGCGTCCGGTTCTTACTGCATCCTGTCAAGTGGTACTCAACTTCAGTTTTTCCCATTACTGATGATGCAAATTTGGTTGCTTGATTAAGGTACTTTCCTCCAGGCTTCTTTACTGTAAAGTTCCTCCTTCTCACTTTGTAATTGATTTATATTTTATGGGGAGATACTCTGAAACTGTAAATATCCTGTTCCTCATTAATCTTTCGACTTACTTGCTTATATTAGTATACACTTGTGATTTCCTATTTTATTATGTAGATTATAACTCAATACTATCATTATTTACATTTATGCTCAAATTATTTCAGATTTGACCAGGAGGAGCCCCTTGAAATAGTTCCTATATAATTTTGACATTTCTGCAGCATTCTTTGAGCACTTTCCCCATTTTTGGCACCAAAAGTTGTTCCCGGTTTAACTTGTACTTCTCCTGCCCCAGCCCTGGTGCTGGCTGTTACTCCATGGAACTCTGGTTTAAGTAGAACATGGTATTTAGGAACTGAGATGTGTGTGCTAGATGTGATCATTGTTATGGAGGATCACTATTCCCATGGCCTGTCTGTGGATAAAACTACAAAAACAGACGTATGTTTATACGAATGCTTAGGGCGACACCTGCTCAGGTGGGGATGATTGGCATCTCTGGCGTTTGAAGCCAATGCTCAACACTCGAGCTCCACGCAGTAGCAACAGGAGGTGGCTATGAAGTTATCACAGGACTAGGGGAAATCATCTTGGGGATCTTATGAAGAACTTCTTATGCCATGTGGCTGACGGGGTCTTGGTGCTCCGGCCGGGTGTCAGGCCTGAGCCTCTGGGGTGGGAGAGGAGAGTTCAGGACATTGGACCACCAGAGTCCTCCCAGCTCCACGTAATATCAATCAGCGAGAGTTCTCCCAGAGATCTCCATCTCAACGCTAAGACCCAGCTCCGCCCAACGGCCAGCAGACTCCAGCGCTGGTTGCCCCATGCCAAACAGCTAGCAAGATAGGAACACAGCCCCACCCATTAGCAGAGAGGCTGCCCAAAATCATAGTAAATTCACAGACACGCCAAAACACGCCACCAGACGCGGCCCTGCCCACCAGAAAGACAAGATCCAGCCCCACCCACCAGAACACAGACGCCAGTCGCCTCCACCAGGAAGCCTCCACAGCCCACTGAACCAACCTCACCCACTGGGGGCAGACACCAAAAACAACAGGAACTACGAACCTGCAGCCTGCGAAAAGGAGACCCCAAACACAGTAAGTTAAACAAAATAAGAAGAGAAACACACAGCAGATGAAGGAGCAAGGTATGTGCACGCTTAGATTTACATGATTTCTATATCTGTTTCTATAACTTGAAAACCATGAGTTCAAATTCACATCTCCTATTTGAATTCAAACCTATATGGTTCATTTCAGGTTTTTTTCTATATTTTGTTTTATATTTTTAATTCCCTTCTCTAACAGTGAGAAGTCTGACTTCCATTATCTTTAATAAATGAGCTTTTCAGAATGTTTGAATGTGTGTAGATAAATAGATGGATAGATGCGTTTGTAGAATTCACACCAAACTATTGAGAGAGTTTTATCTAGGGGAGAAAAATAGAGGAATTTGAAGGTAAAGAGTAATTTTTTTACCATTTTTTTTACCAATTTTTTTTTTTTTTACCAATTTTTAACATGACCAATTTTTAACATTTGGTAACATTTTACCAAAATTTTTTTACCAATTTTTAACATGACACAAATGAACTCCTTTACAAAACAGAAACGGACTCACAGACACGGAAAACAAACTCATGTAGCAAGTGGGCTGGGAATACTAACAAGCTTGGCACATCAATTCATGGCAACATCATGTAATTCCAAAGCTCACCTTGAAGTTTGCATTGCATTTTGTCATTCCTTTTATTTTTTTAATTAAAAACGTTTTTTTAATTGAAGTATAGTTGATTTTCAGTGTTGTGTTAGCTTATTCCCAGCCCAGTTGCTATATAAACAATGTTACCTCCTGTCTTGTGATTCTGGTATTATTAACTAAAAATGTGTGGG